CCATTCATCCTTAAAACCCACTGCCATCGAGCCAATTCTGGCGCAGCAATCCTATAGGACAGAGTAGAAGTGCCCCATAGAGTTTCCAAGGCTGTAAATCTTTATGAAAGCAAACTGCCATGTCTTTCTCCTGCAGAACAGCTGGTAGGTTTGAACTACTGACCTTTCGGTTAGCAGTCAAGCACTTAACCACTGCACCATCAGGGCTCCTTCCCACCCATACTTACCAGGCTGCAAATCCGGGCAGCGGCTCAGTATCTCCCATAGGAGCAAAGCCAGAGAGTAAACATCAGCTCGCCGGAGGGCTGTGCCCCAGTCCTGCAGGTCCAGAGTCTTGTCCAAGAGCTCTGGTGCCATGTACCTCTGGGTGCCAGCCTGGAGAGAAAGTGAGGAGGGCCAACAGTCATCTCCATGGCAACCCTCACCACAACATTGGTCCATGCAACATCCCCCCACCTACAGACTCAGCTATGTCCCAGACACTATAGGCATGCTGTACTGTTGCCAGAGCAACAACACATCTCCATCAGTACCATCACCAGCATCATGGGCCTCACCTCTACCCAGAGTATTCACCTCCATGATGGTAGCCGGGCCTCGGGGTTGAGTAGGGGCCCAGGCAGGGGGCTGAGTGAGGCCAGGGAGCACCAAGGCGAGGCCCAGGTCTCCAATGGCACATGACCCATCTTCCCGAATGAGCACATTCTGGCTACTCAGGTCTCGGTGGGCAATACCTGGTTTATATTGACCTGTGGGGGAATCCAAGGTCAAAGGATCAAGGATTCTCTTCCTCTCTCTTTTGACCCAATCTTTCACCTCTAATCTAAGGGAGAATCAGAAACATAGCATTGTGGTTCCTGACTCCCCTGGCTTCCTGGTCCAGCTCACCCACCATCCTGCCAGCGCTCCTCATGGAGAAATGCCAGGCCCTGGGCCAGGGACAGCGCCATCTGCAGGGAACTTCCCCAGTCACTGGTGTGCTGGGTCAGGTAGTGGCACAGGGAACCCTGGGGAGAAGCAGAGAAGAGGGGGCACACCGCTGGAGGGGCTGATCCATCCCAGGGAGCAGAGATCAGTTGACAGACATCTCCCTCACATCTTCCAGCAGACAGATACACTGAGACCCAGGCCAAAGCAACAGGCAGTGGAGGGGTGAGAACATGCACCAATCAGAGTGACAGGAAAAATAATAACTATAGCTCGAGTGTACTGAGCACTTACTTACGGGGCCAGGTCCTGTGCCTGTGTAAACCCAAAACCAAACCCACTGCCATGGAGTTGATTCCAATTCATAGTGACCCTACAGGACAGAGTAGAACTGCCCCATAGGGTTTCCAAGGCTGGTTCTATAATCCTCACAACAAACTCTAGCATGTCTCCCCATTTTACAGATGAGGAGGTATAGAGAGATTTAAGTAAACTTTCTTGAAGTTATTTGGTGAGAGAGAAGTAGAGTGTGAGCCCAAACAGTCTGATTCTGGAGTCACTCGCTATTAACCACCACCCTTTACTGTCTCAGAGAGCTGGGATAAGGCAGAAACAGAAGAGGCGAGACCAAGGCAAGCTAGGCAGGGGTATCCTCAGTTAACCACCTCGCCTGAGGGGTCAGGCCTGTGTAGACAAGGATGGGTAGAACAGTGGGTAAGGGAGTGAGTGGGAATTAGAAGGGAAGGAACAATAGAGTCCCTTGTTCAACAAACATTATTGAGCACCTCAGTGTACCAGGAACTGTGTTCAGACACCAAGATGGCTGACCTCAGGAAGTTCAGGGACAGGTAAGCGGTAATGAAAACATAAATACAGAATGTGGAAAAAACTGATGATGGGAGAATAAACTGAGTGCTGTGGGGCATAAAGTAGGAGTAACTAAGTTTTTTTGTGTAAAGCAATTTTTGACCTGGGCCTTGTGATATGCAATCAGAGAGGACTTTCCAGAATTTAAAATTTCAGAGGTGGAGCAGTTGCAAAAAAAAAAAAAAAACCATTGAATGTTCTGCTGTGTAGTTTTTCAGAAAAAAAAAAAATTGAATGTTCTGCTGTGTACTTTTTCACGAAAAAAAACCAGTTGCCTTCCAGACTAGTATGACTCCTGGTGTCCCATGTATTTCAGAGTAGAAATGCATGCCATAGGGTTTTCAATGGTCATGATCTTTCAGAAGGAAATCGCCAAGCCCTTCTTCCAAGGTGCCTCCAAGTGGATTCGAACCACCCACCCTATGGTTAGTAGTGCTCAACTGTACCACCAAGAGACTCCAGAGCAGCTTCAGGTGATAATAAAATCCAGGGAGGGGCCACTACATTCAGCACTAAAGTGGGTAGAAGGGATTGAGCTACAGTGAAGCAAGGGAGTTGGGTGGGGTCTTCCATATGGACAGAGAAAAAATCCTGATGGAGGAGTGAACAGGAGAGAGGCCGTACTACAACAAGTGATGATAGGCCAGCCTTTAGAGTCACACAGACCCTGGGCAAATGACTTCCTTTTCCTGAGCCCCATGTGGTTAATAATTCCTACCTCACAGTGTTTATGTGAAGGTTAAGTATGAAAATGTATTTAAAGTGCTTAGTGCAATGCCTAGTACAGAGCAGACAGTAAATGGTATAGAAACTAAAACCAAAAAAACCAAACCCATTGCTGTGGAGTTGATTCTATAGACAGAGTAGAACTGCCCCATAGGGCTTCCAAGGAGCAGCTAGTGGAATAGAACTGCCAACCTTCATGGTTAGCAGCCAAGCTCTTAACCACTGAGCCACCAGGGCTCCATAGAAACTAAAGCCAACTTAAACAAAGTCCAAAAGCTTTAGCAGACCCATAAGCCTAAGGGTGGTGGTCTGGCCCTGCCTACTTCTTCCTCTTCCTTCTTCTTGCTCATTGTCCTCTGCCTCATCTTCAGTCTTCCTGGAGTTGGCCATGGTTACCCTCCTCTCACAGGATAATTCCCCACCCTGGTTCTACCCTCTGCTCACCATTGCCAGCCTTCCTCCAGATCCTGCTCAGCCATCACCCCTTAGGGAAGCCTTCCCTGTACCCTACACTAAGCCAAGTCTCCTTATTATGTATTCTCTCTTACAGGTACCATGGCCCTCTCTTTTGTAGCGTTTAGCACATTTGACATTTATTTTTGTGTTTATTTGATCCATTTCTGTCTCCCCTGCTAGTCTATAAAATCTGTAAAGGCAGGGACTGAGTGTGTCTTCCCCAATACTTACCACAGAGCCTGACACATGGTTTGTAAATGTTTGTTCAGTGAATATATGAATGACTCCAGAATAGACCACATATTAGGCCATAAAACAAGCCTTAACAAAATCCAAAGCATCAAAATATTACAAAGCATCTTTTCTAACCATAAAGCCATAAAAGTAGAAATCAATAACAGAAAAAGCAAGGAAAAAAATTAAACACATAGAAACTGAACAACACTTTGCTCAAAAACCACTGGGTTATAGAAGAAATTAAGGGTGGAATAAAGAAATTCATAGAATCAAACGAGAATGAAAACACATCCTACCAGAACCTTTGGGACACAGCAAAAGCAGTGCTCAGAGGTCAGTTTATAGCAATAAAT